CTCCTTCCCCTTAACATTTTACTTTTCCACATTTGTTTAGTTCCAAGTTTTGAAGCAATTTTGAGTTATTTTTTAACATGACCTGCAAATGCATTGTGAAATGAGTTATAAAATCATCTAATATTTTCTGCTTTCTCCACTCCTCCAGCAGTTCTTTCCCACCATCTTCACAGGCCTATTGTTCCAACTTTTGTTTGTCATGTTTTCTGTCTTGTATAAAAGTTCCCCCCACCACCCTTAATGTCATACTGCTTTTGCTTCTCAAGTCCTAGAATACAATCTGCAGACCAAGTCTGAGAATATGTGATTCACCACTTACCAGAAGGAGACATTGTTCTTTCACATCTGAGCTATGGGCATGAATTCACCACACAAGAAGGTGAAACACACGTGGGGAACAAGAACCCCCTCATCACCAAAGGCTAATGTTCTGAGAGCAAAAAAGTCTGCCTGCTCAAGAATTTCTAACAACAGTGGATTTAGACATGATTTAGACAAACACAGGAAACCAGAACAGGAAATTCCAGTGAGTTCATTTATTCAATTAAAACTAGAGACAAAGGAAATCATCTCACATGGCATGAAAACACACCACCTTTGCTAGAGAAAAGAGTTGTACCTTTTACTGCCATGGAGCAAATGATAGAACCAAAATCATCAGGTTCTATCAAAGAAAACTGGTACTGAGCTACAGTGTTTCAATGCAAGAGGACACAGTGTATCTGGGGTTTTGTGCTTTGATACTTGCAATAGTTTGCATTGTCTTACCTTTACATTTTGCAGAGTTTCATAAAAGCATTGAGTTTTACTCTAAATATGCTCCTTCTCACACAGTCCTTTAAAAGCCTAAACCAATTATCTCACCAACATCTTCATCTTACATTTTCTCATCCTTACCAATTTAGAAATCCCATTATAAAAGCAACAACTAATAAAAAGCTTGTGCCTCATTCTAGTCCCTATCTGGTTAATGTGTTTTTTTTCCATTGTAAGACCCCTTTATCAATATAGATGAGTTTATCTATGCACATTTTGTGCTTCCTTCCATTCAATCTTGTTTGCGTAAACAGCTCTTCAGTCTAAGGCAAATTATAGCAATAATGCTTCCTTTTTCATCAAGGAAGAGACATTTTCCCACCTGTATTAAGATCATTAGGAAAAGAACTAGAAGAGTGCAAGAGAGCCACAATCTATAAATGCATCAATATTATGCTAGGTTTAAGGGTAGTGTGGGTGATCTTTTCAAATTTGATCCAGAAATACCGTCATTCAGTAAATGGTGTTACATGCTTTTAACTGTGCTAATACAATCTCACCATCTTCTTTCCTGTTTTGAATAGGAATACAAATATTACCATTAAAGAGCTTTAGCATTTGACAGGGTTGCTTGGCTAAATACGTCAGGTATTCTTACAAGCTGCAAGTCTAAAGTCAGTCTTCTCATGGCTAGAATTACCTACTGGGCCTTATTTCCTTTCTCCACTTATTTCTGTTGCTATGAAAAAGCCCTATTAATTTCTGAATATTTCAAGAACTCTGAACGCTCATGCATTGCATTATATAAAACATTTTTTCTTCTTTCTTTCAGAAGCACCTGTCAAGCTAGACATAACTTCAGTTCTTTCACAGTGTCAAAGACTGTCCATCTCAGCTGTGTTTCTAGGCAAGCAAAGAAGTTTTGCTTCTCAGTGATATATTCTTTGAAATATAGTGAAACTAACTCTAATGATTCAAAGGATTGCCTGAATTAGTGCCCCCTCTCACACTCCTTATATAAATATTATGCAACAGGGGAATTCCTCTTTAAACCACTGGAATTCTTCCCTTGCTCAACCTCCTCTTGATTCACCTCAAAATTTAGTTGCCACGCAGAGATCCCTCTCTCACCAAGGACAAAACCTTCAGGCTGCTCACTGCTCTTTCACATTACATGCAAAAAAAAAAAAGTTCTGAGTAACAGAATAGTATTTCCATGACAGTGATTATCAAAAAAAACCACCCAGACAAAAGCAATAGCTTTGTTGCTAAAAATGTTGATAAAGATGAACCTACGGTCTTCACAGTAAATGAAATTATTTACGCTGCCATTTTTTCTTTGTTCCACTTAAAGCTACTGTGCATGATTTGAACAATAACCGTACAGATGATTGAGAAATTTGCACATTACTTATAACAACTTACCAGAATCAGCTTAAATCGATCAATCCACTTTCAATCCTCAGTTGTTGTGAGTATGCAGAAGACACTAAGTTCATTCTCCTTTAACTTTACTTTGCCCCTTCATGCAGCCTACCATTTCCACTCAGATTTAATTTGATCATCTATTGCTGTTGACAATGCAGCGACACTTCACCTGCAGTTCTTTTCAGTGTAACCAGAAGCTTACGTCTGAGCTATCTAGAGAGGGGCTCACCAGCATGCGTCTCATTTATGACTAGACAATGCAGTTCAAACAGCATTTGGAACATAAATTACGTGGCTAGTACAGACTTTTAGTCAAACGGGACAAGACAGTGACAGGCTGCTAACTTGCTTCTTTTACCTCTTAACAGCTATTCAGGCATTGGCTTATTACACCAAAACAATGTGACTGAGCACTCCTTGGCTAAAGCTAGTATTTTGACACTTACTTCTATTAGATAAAGCAGAAGCTCTTGTCTCAAGCATAACAGCGTACATGTTGATGATAGGTAGTATCAGCTAGGAAGACTCAGCCTCCCGCTCTTTTCAGTTGTGGAGTTCCACAGAAGAGAAAGAGAACAGGTACACTAACAATGTTATGCCAACATCCATTATTTTTAAATAAAGCATAAGTTAACATCTAGCCTGAGAAAGAAGTAGATCTCTCTCCTCCCTTTCCGAAAGGAACTTAGAACTGGGAAATGTATTCAATTCAGCCTGTTTAGGGTCTTTTCTCTCTTTACAAAATATATTTAGATAAAACATTTTATTATATGTTCAGAGACTACAGTCAGCTTCAGCTTTTCTTAGTTCTTAATTATTCACTAACAGAAGCCACAGTAAGCAAAACCAAGAAAGAATTCAAAGACAGCAGACAGTGCAGAAGAGGAAAAGAATAAGGTATACTTAAAGCATAGGAAAGTATTAGCAGAAGCATGATTCATTAATACTCAACAAATGCAATATTGTAGTGACAGAAGAAAAAAGTTACTACATAGTTCACACAAGATGCCCAACCTGAGCACAGAAAATTGTTTCTTTTGTGTCATCTTAGGTGT